GTTCAGAGAGGTGTACTGTTTTCCCTCCTTGTAAATCTCACATTTGATGATGGACCACAGGTTCTCAATGGGGTTCAGATCAGGTGAACAAGGAGGCCATGTCATTAGATTTTCTTCTTTTATACCCTTTCTTGCCAGCCACGCTGTGGAGTACTTGGACGCGTGTGATGGAGCATTGTCCTGCATGAAAATCATGTTTTTCTTGAAGGATGCAGACTTCTTCCTGTACCACTGCTTGAAGAAGGTGTCTTCCAGGAACTGGCAGTAGGACTGGGAGTTGAGCTTGACTCCATCCTCAACCCGAAAAGGCCCCACAAGCTCATCTTTGATGATACCAGCCCAAACCAGTACTCCACCTCCACCTTGCTGGCGTCTGAGTCGGACTGGAGCTCTCTGCCCTTTACCAATCCAGCCACGGGCCCATCCATCTGGCCCATCAAGACTCACTCTCATTTCATCAGTCCATAAAACCTTAGAAAAATCAGTCTTGAGATATTTCTTGGCCCAGTCTTGACGTTTCAGCTTGTGTGTCTTGTTCAGTGGTGGTCGTCTTTCAGCCTTTCTTACCTTGGCCATGTCTCTGAGTATTGCACACCTTGTGCTTTTGGGCACTCCAGTGATGTTGCAGCTCTGAAATATGGCCAAACTGGTGGCAAGTGGCATCGTGGCAGCTGCACGCTTGACTTTTCTCAGTTCATGGGCAGTTATTTTGCGCCTTGGTTTTTCCACACGCTTCTTGCGACCCTGTTGACTATTTGAATGAAACGCTTGATTGTTCGATGATCACGCTTCAGAAGCTTTGCAATTTTAAGAGTGCTGCATCCCTCTGCAAGATATCTCACTATTTTTGACTTTTCTGAGCCTGTCAAGTCCTTCTTTTGACCCATTTTGCCAAAGGAAAGGAAGTTGCCTAATAATTATGCACACCTGATATAGGGTGTTGATGTCATTAGACCACACCCCTTCTCATTACAGAGATGCACATCACCTAATATGCTTAATTGGTAGTAGGCTTTCGAGCCTATACAGCTTGGAGTAAGACAACATGCATAAAGAGGATGATGTGGTCAAAATACTCATTTGCCTAATAATTCTGCACTCCCTGTAGAAACGGGACAACCACGGCCATTCACACGGTGGAAGAAGGGTTGGACCTCCTACGACAATGGAACTTGCCCGTGGAAGGGAACTCTCAAACACCCAAGGAATCGCGCCACGTGGAGAAAGTCTGGCACACTACCAACTAACAACTCACCGCAAGTATACCCGCTCCGGCGGTATATGACTGCACCTCACATTATAACTCATTTACCAACCATCCCAACCAAAAGCATCCGTGTGATGGATGCTATAAGCTGAAAATACCATAATAATGTGCATTGTAATTGTTTATGTATAAGTGTTTGGCAGGGCAGTATAGCACATGCCCTATGCAATGTAAAATTTTAACAAGTGCTCGACAAGGTGCCGTAGAAACAAAACAGGAGATATGGCTGGTCTTGGGTGCTGTACCCTCAGCACTCAGGAGGTTCACATAGTCGAACACATAGGCAATACTACTAACTGCAAACATCACCCGTAGAAAGCACATGTGGCTCACATAAAACCCCGCAAGCATAGCCCAAGTTGGGGCTGGCACATCGATTACTAAGGGTGATGAGTTACACCATATTGAAATTTTGTGGGATCGCTCGCTTAGTGTTTGGCACAAAACTAGGGGCCTCCAACCCCCCTTTGGCAGTGAGCTGTAGTATGCGACAATAGGCTGATTAGCTTTTATGTGAACTGCTGGTAATTGGCTTTATCCACACACCGCCCATATGAAGCGCTGGTAACCAGCCTTTCTGTTAGTACACCATCACCAAGGAGCATGGAATGAGTTTTCAGGCGGTGCTCAATGGCAGACCCCACATGAGGATTGGGCAGAATACGGCGTTTACGCCTCTGTAGACCTTGTATAGTATGAATGATACTAATCCGCCAACCAGGGCTAGGTGAGACTCAGTAGCCACATGATCCTTCTGTATGTAACCCGTGTGTTCACGATGTATACCTATGTACCATCACCACAATGCATGGTTGTGTTTGGAGTAGAGGTTGTAGGAACAGAGTCGAGGTGAAGATTAACCTGAGCACTAACAATACTATGGAAGTTGTATGTGAATGATATATTAAAGCGAGAACTATGTATGGGCCAAACACAGGCACCAACGCTTTCCACACATACAAGCTAGAGAGGCGGACACATTATTTGCCCATTCTGCCACCTAATGACATCCGCTCTATAAGCAAACCTCTCGGACCAAGCCGTTTGCACTACTGCGGCTTTAAGCCTTACGTGTACACGAAAGGCATTATAGAGAATCCCTGGTCCTCTACCGTAACAGCCAGGCCAGCCCATGCGGCACCTGCCAAAGCACCAATTCCCCCCCCCCCCCTCCGGGAAACTGACACCCCGCAGGGACAATCCATCCACTCCCGCCACACAGAAATGAGTGCTCACACTGGGACCCCTTGTGGTTTTGAAACAAAGGATCTTGTCAATTGGTGTTATAGAGTTGTCTGAGTAGCACTTTAACCATTTAGCCAGCTCAGGCCAGCAACTGTCCACCACTCCGATCCCATGCTCCCCACGGCGCTGCACAGGCGCGCCATGCACCGAGATCGGGTTTACCTGTATATACTTTTGTTCGAAGTTTGTAACCCTACCCACCACCACCCCTCTACTTACCCAGTTATACTTCCAGGCACAACGCTGAGCATCCAAAAGTCCACCACAAGCACAGCATATCCAGGAATCTCATTCCATCCCCTTCTTAACCTATGTATAATGGGATACTTGCACCCAATCAAGGTACTCATTCGCTTACCTAACAAGTTCACCCGTAACTCACTCTGAAGATCTATTCCCACAATGTAAGGGGACTTAATATGCCCCATAAAAGACACATGTTACTCCAAGAGGCCCGCAAGCTAAAGGCAGACATACTCTGCCTCCAAGAGACCCACTTCGCCAAGGCTAATACACCCCACTTTGGTATGAAACACTTCCCCCACCAATTCCACTCATCCCACTTATCCAAATCCAGGGGAGTGTCCATATACATCCACAGCTCAGTTGCCTTTGAATTGCTACAAAGAATCTCAGATGACAAAGGGAGGTATCTGATAGTTATCTGCTTATTGAATGATGCAATCTATACAATAGTAAACGTGTATGCGCCAAATGAAAACCAACGTAACTTTTTGTTTAGTGTCCTCACGAAAGTGGCGAAGGTACAAAGAGGAACCACAGTGATATGTGGAGACATAAACCACATCTTAGACCCTCATCTTGACACTTCTACACCCCCACAGGCCTCTAGACATAAATCCCTCAAACCGCATTGCAAAAATCTGACACAGTTACTGATTAAATTCAATTTATATGATAGTTGGCGAACCCTCCATCCCTCAGATAGAGAATACTCTTACTACTCTAAACCACACAAGTCTTTCTCCAGAATAGACATGTTACTTGTACCAGGCCCTCACTTAACCTAATCCAATCATGTGTTATGGGGGATATCTTGTGGTCTGACCATGCACCCGTGATAGCGACTTTAAAAGATGACTTTAGATACCGAGGATGTAACCCCTGGAGATTAAATGAATCACTTTTACAAGATGAACAGTTTAAGTCAGAGATAGAAACCGAACTCACACATTACTTCTCCACTAACGACATACCAGAAACAAGTTCCACGACAGTATGGAGAGCCCATAAGGCTGTAGTGAGGGGCCTGTTCATAAGGCGTGCCTCGCACCTCAAAAATATTTCCCAGGCTAACTCCCTACACCTCCTCAGGAAATTGAGGGACGCTTCTGCGTCCCACATGGTTAATCCAAACCCACAAGACGCGGAACTTATAACACAGCTCCAATCGGAACTGAACGACATTAACATAGCCAAAACAACACGAATCCTACATAGGCTGAAAACGAGAGAATACAGCATGGGCAACAAAGCGGGCTTGATTTTAGCAAGTAGGCTCCGTGACGCCCAGGCCCATACCAAAATATACCACCTCTTTTCTCAAAACGGGAAAAATATTATCAAACCCCAAGACATCAGTAACCACTTTGCAGAGTTCTATGGGAAACTCTACAATCTCAAAAATGACCCTACTGTGCATCAACCCACAGAAGGTGAAATAGCCAGTTTTTTAGACAAAATTAATCTGCCCAAACTGACAGAAGGGCAACGATCATCATTAGCTAAACCCATCTCCCAACTGGAACTGGACACAGTAATACAAAACCTGCCACATAACAAGGTCCCAGGTCCAGATGGACTACCAAATGTGTATTATAAGAAATTCTCCTCCACTCTGGTCCCCAGGATGGTGTCGCTCTTCACATCCACTACCGTACTAGAATCTATGCCAGCAGATATGCTTGCGGCTAATGTGGCCACGTTACCTAAACCAGGAAAACCACCAACCCAATGTGCTAACTTCCGACCAATTTCACTACTAAACTCTGATGTGAAAATCCTTGCTAAAGTATACGCTAACCGCATGTCAAACATAATCCCACATATCATACACTCTGACCAAGTAGGTTTTGTACATGGAAGGCAGGGGACAGATGGAACACGCAAAGCCCTTGCACTACTACACACTATGCACAGACAATCTCCTCAAAGTCTCTTATTATCCCTAGATGCGGAAAAGGCCCTAGACCGCCTGCATTGGTCATTCCTGCGAGCGGTCCTGGCCAAATTTGCTTTTCCCATGCACTTTATTTCAATAGTCAAATCCCTGTACAGCAATCCCGAAGCCAGAGTTTTCACATCAGGATTCCAATCCGCACCTTTCACTATTACTAATGGATCTAGGCAGGGATGCCCGCTATCGCCCCTCCTATACATCCTGGCCCTAGAACCCTTGGCCGAGGCTATCCGCATGGTGAAGGAGATTAAAGGGATCCGAGTGGGAGATAGTGAACACAAATTGAACCTCTTCGCAGATGACGTTCTGCTCACGATCACTGAACCCCACACATCCCTGCCAAAGTTCCATGCCATACTACAGGAATATAGCAAATGTTCATATTACAAATTAAACCTTTCTAAGACGCAAGCCATGGGAGTGGGGATGGACAGTGCATACTTGTCGGCATTAAAAAAACAATTCTTCTATGACTGGAGGGATGACTACCTGACTTTCCTAGGTGTAAAACTCCCACATAACTTGTCCAACCTATATAACATAAACTATATTAAACTTAGCAAGGAGATCACCGCTTTACTTCACAACTGGGGAAATAAATTTATCTCATGGTCGGGGCGCATAGCAGCGGTCAAAATGGTAATTTTGCCCAAACTACAATATCTGTTTAGGACACTCATTCTACAAATACCACAGGCTTATTTCACGGCACTTCAGAGACAAATCAACCTTTTCATCTGGCAGGGGAAACGACCCAGAATAGCCATATCCACACTACACCAACCTAGGAACAGGGGAGGAATGAGCCTACCCAATATACAATTATATCACAGAGCAGCAGTGTTAGCCAGCCTCTTCCCTGCCGCCCAGGAGCAGGACAGGCCACAATGGGTGCAGCTAGAACAACACTGGCTACAAAATCGAGAAATCAACACATTAATGTGGCTATCCCCACAGTACAGGGGAAGCACAACACAAGCACTCCCAACCACCCTAGCAATGTTAAAAATATGGGACATATCGCGCAAACTCCTATGTAGCAATTATCCGATCCCCCTTTCCACCCCCATCAAAGTTCTAGCTTGGGAAATACCAGATTTTAACTACAGGGTCTGGAACAGATGCGGGGTACTTCACCTGCACTCTCTCTTCAACACGGGGAAATTAGACCCACACGCTACCCAACACGGCGGACCACTCATATCTGCAACTAGCATCTTGGTGGAAATCAAAAGCACAAACTTCCAAGTCCCAAACCACCATTACGTTAACAGAATTTGAGAAACTTTTCATGACGGTAAACAGATTAAAAAACCCATATCCACCACATATGCCCTGCTGTTATCTAGACGTGAGGTTAAAACTCTCCCTTTTGTACTTTCCTGGGAAAAAGACCTTAACCAGTCAATACCGGAGAAAACTTGGTTGGCCTCAATAAATATAACGAAAGGACTAACACAGTGTGCATCTCACCTAGAAACAACCCGCAAGATCCTTTACCGCTGGTACATGGTCCCTACGAGACTGGCCACAATAGACCCAACACTATCCAACACTTGCTGGCGATGCAAAACGGAAACAGGGTCCTTTCTCCACGTTTGGTGGAAATGTTCCAAACTCCAACCATACTGGAAAGCAGTCATCTCATTGATACACCGCCACACATCAGCAAACATACCGAACACCCCTACCTCTCTACTTCTCTTTATGCTGGGCACTACCTACCCTAAACCCGTACGATACTTAATATTTCACATCCTAGTAGCAGCTCAACAACTAATAGCAAAAAAATGGCTATCACCCAATAATGCTGCAACACAAGATATAATTAAATACGTGTCTCAAGTAGGGAAGTACAAATCAAATATTTCAAGAGTGTCACCAGGGAATAGCTGGAAGAGGGAGGTATGGGAGGACTGGGAGTTAAAACACCCAACATAAATAGGCCTACTAACTAAAGGGTACATAACCCATATGACGCACAGCTCTAGCGGCCTCACCATTTCACTACATCAGCGAGCACACGGCACCCAATGCACGCGTGCCAGTAAACAACAGACTCCTAAACCCCTCAAGCATTGAGACTAAGAGTGGATTGGTATATCCACAAGGACTGATGGGAAGAGAGGTGGCCAGATCCTACTAATCCCCACACCACCCCCTTTTCATTCTTATGAGTTACTACATGAAGGAAGGAGCCTCCGGCTCAGCTTGCCTACATTTATGCACACAAAGGGACATCGGGCACCAAGCTCTCACTTAGGGAAAACTCCAACAGGGACAACTTGTCCGAACTAAAGTATTAAGGCGGGTAGAGGTAGGGCTCCATGTGTCACACATAGCAGAAACGGGAGTATTGTATCTATGCATTGTAATTATGTATTGTATCTTTGTACTTATGTATCTATGTACTGTATACCATATCATGCCAGCATATTGTGCTTTTCCTTTCCCCTCTAACCCCCCCCCTCTTTTTTCTGTACCCCAAGTTTCAGACAAAATAAAAATTGTCAAATTGAAAAAAAAATAAATACCAAGAGCTCCTGCATTCACGCTCCAATTACCCTTGTTGCCCGGGTGCTAGCAAATTATGGCCATCCATACAAAAATCCAACAAGTAGCTGCACTCACGGTAAATAAAAAACCAAAATTTATTAGAAATAAGTTAAAACATCCATGACCAACGTTTCAGTCCGACAAGGACTTTCCTCAGGATCAAAAAAGATGAAAAACAGTGTATACAATAAACAGGACATTTATACATAAAACTATTAAGAATGTAAGCTTACCCCAGGTGAAAACCGTCATTCAATCGGCGTTCTAGCCCGCTCAGTGCGCCTGTGCAAATTGACTCCGCCCCCTGCCATGATGTCATGACGTGATCGTTGCCTCGGTGATGCTAATAAACAAAGCATCACTGCGGTTAACTAAACACCGGCAAACAGACCGAATCGATCATTGCCATGGTGATGCTGATAAACAAAGCATCACCGTGGGCAGTACATATGGGAGAGTGCAAACCCGGATGTGAATGTTTATCAAATTAAAAAGCATGTGGAAAAATATAATTAAAAATGGAAAAGTGAATACCTCATATATGAATGAGCCTTATACTATATCAGCTCAGTCCACATTAAAGTGACAGCATTGTCAGTGTAATCAAAGTGCATAGAAGTTATATATGTACTCAAGTATATATGTATATTATTAAGAGACCAGTGCATACAATTAAAGAACCAGTGCATATAAATGAATGAATGCATATAAATAAATATAGTACTCATGAGAGGAGAGTGTATGTTGAAACATACAACACAATCCATATATGGATATTTTAAAGTGACAGTGCATATTATATAAAGTGCAAAATCAAATGTTATAGAAAAGTGCTATAAGTGCTGGGTGATCAAACGTACCATACCCTATAGTGTAAATAATCAATCTATTCTCTCTTTTTAACCCTATATACAAGGAAAAAGTACATATTTAATAACATAAATGCTCATATAGCTAACAATACATGTGTAGCCATATAAGAAACAAATACTAGAGATATATAACTAAGGATTCCGGTAAAATTATTATACATTAAGTGTTAGTTCGACAACCACACCTATCTGACATATTTACTAGTTAAGTAATTTTCTATACACTGGGTTCTGCTTATTCAGCCTTCCTATTTAAAGAACCCAAATTGTAAATAGATATTTTATCCTTAGTAATATATCTCAGCGTTTATAATTAAAATCAAATAACCAATAACTGGGGCTATAACTCGGCCATAACTATGCATATAGATATATTGCACAACTCAGTCCATTGCTACAGGAGTTACTTATCAATAAATCCATTATAAGAACGAATGAAAAGAAATATATTCATTCAAGCCCTTCGGGAAAACTGTGTCCAGTTCATAAATCCAAAATGTCTCTCTGTTTAAAAGCAATTTGCCCCTGTCCCCAGCCCGTCTTGATACTGGAACATGGTCAATCGCTATGAATTTCAATGTGGCCAACGAATGGTTAAAATCAAGGAAATGTTTCGCCACCGGTTGAGCCCCTTGCAGTTAATAGATATGCATGTTACCTTAGCTGGCATTGTGGTGTGAGGGGTACTGCGGTGCCGATTGTGCCTTGGTCCAGCCCCCTGTGTTGTGGGTGGAGGCTTGGGGTTTTTGCGTCAGGTATCTTCCCGATTTGGATGTGGTTCTAAGGTCTTGTGTCCCGCCATGGTACTCTTCAGGGGTGAACTGTGGGTACAAATAAAAATAACAGTGAACATATTTACAACTTCCTGGGCTTATTGTCTTTGCCAGGTTCGAGTCTAACAGCGTGTTGGGTATGTCCCTTACTTGGGACCCCGGTGCCCTGGTGTTAACTTGGGGTGTGGTGGGGGTAAGTCCTGAGATGCGTCCTGTTCCAGGTGTGTGAGAATTTCCACTGGGCAATTGTGAGTTGGGGGTGGGGGGTGGTGTCCTTGGGTCAGCTGGTTACAGTTCTGTCTGGGGGGGTTGGCGGTTCCCGTGGGTTGGGGCGCCCATCTGGGGGAGGGGTGTCTGTATGGTCCCTCGGGCTGGGGTTTCCTGATGTCACTGTCGGGGTCTGGGCAGTCCCGGCTGTCCTGTGTCGTGTTTGGTCGTTGGATGCCCTCCCACCCTTATCCCCCTAGTTGTTCCGGTGGGGTGGTTTGTGGCTGGTTGTCTGGGGGTCAGGTGGGTCAGTGTGGGTTATTTCTGTAGTCCCCGCTCGTTCCCGCTTGCTTCCTCCCTCCTCCCGTCTCCCCCTGGTTCTGCCCGCGGAGTTGGTTTGGCATTCCCCCTGCTCCCCTTCCCCCCGCTGTCTAGTCCCCTTGGTTGTGGGTGTTTTACCCCATTTCTAATATGTGCCGTGCACAATTGTACAGCTCTCTTACAGTTAGCGTGCATACAAGTAAACAAATAAACATTAGTGGCACGTATGAACAGTGTCTCTACGTATAAAGAATATAAAGGATATATTATGGTTTGTTGAATAGGTGCAGTCTCTGCTTTTGCCTTGCTCTTTGTTTAATCCGTTGTTTCGGAGAGCCGTGCAGGTCTGCTCCTGGGATGTCTGGGTTCCGAGTCGGTGCGGTGGAGTCAGGTCATTCTTGTTCCAGTGCCTGGCGTTGCCTGTGGGCTGTTCCCCGCATGGCGGTGTCTTTGCGGTGATGGTTTTTCCCACAGTGGTTGTAGTGGTGGGGGTCTTCTCCGTGCAGTGGTGGTAGTGGTGTCTGGTCTTGTCGTCGGTAGATGTAGGCCCAGCTTGGAGGCAAATGCTTGCTGTTTGGAGGGGTCTGTGAGGATATGGGTCATGTTGTCTCTGCGGACGAGGAGTTTGAAGGGGTGCCCCCACCTGTAGACGATACCTGCTTGGGTTAGTGCTATTGTGAGCGGTTTCAACTCCCGACGCTTGGCTAGCGTGGTGGGTGCTAGGTCCTGGTAGAATGCCAGCGTGGCGGCGTCTAGTTTT